AACAGCTACTCCTCAAGCTGCACCTACAATAGGGGTAAATAAACTCTGAGTACACAATCTACTCGCAAGACTTACCCGACTAGTGGGAATAATTTCTCAACTCCAAAGGATATGATAGGCTTTATGGTTTGCTAGGTTTCCTTTTTGCAAAAAACATGACTAGCAGTGAATCCTTATGTATGTTTCTTATTAGCAGTCCTGATTAGTTTATTAGCAAACCATTCTATGTAAGCATCTGTTCTACTTTCAAGCAAGAGTTAAGCGATCAGATCCATTTCACTATCTTTCATCTTCCAGTTCTTACTACGGTGCTAGATCATAGACAAGTCATACCATATTACACGGCAATTCGTGAATCAATGTATCCCAGCTAGGTACCCTGAAACACACATCCCGCTTATACCCCAGACACAAGCAGGACCAACCCATCACTCTCCTATCAAGAGGTCTAGGTCCCCGTCCAAACTTGGACTCCAAGCCCCCACACCTGAGTCCCGGACTCAGTGTGGTGCTTAGACCTCTACCATCCCCGTCTCCAATCAGTCGGTCCAAAAAGAGCTGGAACCCACAACAAGAGAGCAACGAGCCTTCCCGCTCCCATAAGCTAGTATGTGCTCAGGATAATAAATCTGTGACCTGACTAGAATCCAATGTAACGGCCGGTCCTTAACCAATACGGACAACAAAAATAGTGTAACCAAGCTATGCCACGTTGACCGTGGGACACAACCTATTACACCCACCAATACCCGTACCATATCCCTGTCCGGTCTTCATTTTCCTTTCACCATTTTATCATGAGAGTAATAATAATAATCACCTATTATAAGTAATGGCAGGTTACTCATGCTACCAAAAAACCTAAGCATAGCACCTACTAGACCTAAACTAGTAGGACTCATAGGTAGGTATATCTATGCATATAGTTTCAACAATAAGCCTGTAATGTAAATGCACATCACACACACACACACACACACACACACACATATATATATATATATATCCGGTGATTATTCAAAATAAGGGTTATGCACCGAGGCTTGCCTTGGGCAGGCGGGGTGTCAGCTCAGTCAGTTAGTGGTGGCTCCGGGACCTCCTCCTGCACGAGGATCTCCTCCTCGTACTCCTCGATCACCTCCTCGAACTAGTGATCTCTGATGGTCACGATCTCCGCCAACTCGTTCTCTACATGCATGCGATGATGATGCAACACTTAGCATTTTGGCAACAGCAACTCTTAAAATAAGAATATACATGCTAAGCTACTAAGCTAGCTCTAATGACTAAGATACTAAGCTAATCATTATCTCTATCAAATAGATTCCAAGCTCACCCTATAAGTGCTTAATTTTTATAAACCAATATCATGTCATTATTCATTTAGCCTTAATGGGAATTTAGCTACCATATTAAATAGCCTATTTTAGGGATACAAAAAATTACAGTGAGCACATAATAATACAATGAAGCTACTGTAAAAATTTCATAGTCAAAGCTATTATCAATTTGCCACCAAATTTTCTACAAATACTAATCTAAATAATACTAAACACTTGCAAAGGATTTAATAAGCCTTAGCATCAACTCAGATCTGCATCATCTAATCATACCATCATATAGACAACATTTTTAGGAATCCAACAAAATTTATTTCACAATTTTTGGACATCTATGTGAATTGATATTAATTTTCAAAGTTTAGCTCAGAATGTAAAATATAAAACTATTTCTAATTCCTTAAGAAAAAGAAAAATGAATTCTCACTCCGCGGCCCACCACCGCACGGCCCGCGCGAACGTGGCCCACCGCGAGACGGCCCACGACGGGGCGACCCACGCGCGCGCTGCCAACTTTACAAAAACGCCCCCGCGCTACAGACAAATCAACCCGGGGTCTGCAACACTATTCCCCGAGAGAGAGGCTATGCAAAAAGGACCTCGCAACTATCCTCTTTTACCATGGCCAGGTCCTTGGCCACCCCTGCGTGCATCAGCGCGGTGGGCACGGCAATGGATGGCCACACCCAGTGACGAAGCCAGAAAAAAATTTAGGAGGAGCTGAACAAAAGAATAGAGGCTTTTTTATCTTCTCTTAACCTTAGCCCCTCCTACCTAATACATATATGCATAAAATTTTAAGGGAAGGCTTAGGGGGGCTCCACGTACCCAGGATCGGTAGGGGGCTAGAGCCCCCCCAGCCCCACCGCTGCCTTCGTCACTAGCCACACCGGCCAACTAAGGCACGTAGCGGCCCCACTAGCGGGCTGACCTGCATCTACGGTCCTAGCGCCTACACTAGATGAAGTTACGGGAGCAGCGGAGCTTGCGGGAGCGGTGGCCACGGCGAGCGGCCGCATGCGACGGTGGCGTGGTCGTACCGACCATCCTAGACCACCGCGTAGCTATTGGCTAGCGCGTGAGCAACCCCAGCTTACCCCGGTCATGGCTGTTGTGATGGTTGAGGGAACGGTCAGCGCGACCGGAGGGGTGTGGCGGCCTTCCGAGCCGGCGCAGCCACGTCAGCAGCTACGGCGAGGCGGTAGAGGTGCAAGCGAGGCACACAAGGTGAAGTGGAGGTGGAGGCGAAGCTCGAGAGGCAGGTGGATTAGCGTGGAGTGGTGTGGTGGGTGACTGCCCTCGTCCATGGTCGAGCCCGGCCTTAATGGCACGACGGAGGGAAAACTCCAAAATTTGAGCTTGATAGGGCTTGGTTAGGACCGTACATGGACTTGGCGCGTAGCTAGGTTCCTTAATTGACATTTGGCACAAGTAATTGTACAAGAGATCGACCGGGCACTGCAGGATCAGCTTCGATGCGATGCAGCCTCGTCTGCTCGCCTTCAATGACGATGAAGGCTCGGTGTCGGTGGTTTCCATTTAATGGAAGATGACAAGGGCGAGATGGTAACCGGCTGCACATGTGGCACAGAGCGAGGCCAGCAACGCGTGGAAACTCTGTGTCGGATCGGGGAGCGGCTGGTCGCTAGCAAGGACACGCACGCGTGTGGGTGTCGCAGCGGTGCTACTGGACAATGCGGCACCAGGGTAGAACATGTGCGTTGCTGCAGTTATAGGCTCGACCATGTGCTGCTGCAGCACCACAAGCGGAACGACAATGCGGCAGCGGGACCCGAGGAGGGTGGTGCGCACAGCAGCGGCGACGCGACGGCAGCAGCATCAGCGTGGCATGGCGGCAGGACAGCCAGGCACAGGTGAGCGGCGGGCGTGGCGGCTCATGGTTGACGGCTAGCGGCGTGCCCACCGTGGCCAGGCTGCGGCAACAGCAACCGACCAGCGTGGCCACTTGCGCTCATGCGCGAGCGCCCAGCGCACCGACGCCGCGACATCGGGGCTGGATGGCCAGGTGATCGCGCCCAACATGTGAAGACGGCCCGAGTTCATGTTATGCACAGATTTTAAAGCGTTCGAGACGTCTAAACCGTTGATTCAATCCCCAAACCACTTTTGCTATACCTTAGAGGGTATATTAGGCTACTAAAACAAGTCATAATACTACCCTACTCCTTAACCCAATTTCTCTACAAAAAATGCTAAACATCACAATGCCTAACCTTCCAAAAGTTCATGAAATTTTCTAAGTGTTAAATGGATTTCTTTTTCTAGTTGCACTTTTAAGCTATTGAATATAGTACTTAACAACATTATCTCTCGATACCAAGTATTTCATTGTCACCTACAAATCTCACATTTTAAACTTTATTAAGGTGTCACATGTATGTTTTATAGCGTTTTTGTTCAATAAAAATTAGTTAACATCCCTACTTGCTAACTTTATAAATCATGAATTAACTTTTCGTTTTACGTCTTTACGACTAGTTTAAGTTACAATGCTTTACCTATTCATCGCACCACATGCAATATCACTTAAGTATGATGTTCATGACATGTTTTAGCAAGTGATTCACTGTGTAATACCGAGGGTGTTACAGAGCTGTATCGTGGAAAAGCTCAAAGAAAACCGTCACTACATCGTCTACGTTATGAGGCCACAAGGCAGGTGAATTGGCTGAAAAAGTTCATGCCCGGGTTGAAAGTGGTAGACGACATACATAAGCCACTCAAGTTATACTGCGATAATAATCCAGCAGTATTTTATGCTCACAAAAATAAGTCAAGTGATGCCGCCAAACATTGACATAAAGTTTTATGTTGTAAAAGACAAAGTCCGGGATCATATAATTAGTCTTGAGCATATAAATACAGAAAAGATGCTCGCGGATCTGCTTATTAAAGGCTTACCACCCAATGTGTTCAGAGAACACTTAGTCGGCATGGGTTTAAGGGAAAGCCTATGATTCCTGAACAATAAGGTCTAGTTGATAATCTGTTTTAAAACAGAGAGGTGCATTATAGCTGTTAAATCTAATGGCAACTGACCATGACGATGAAGCACGCTCTATGCACTGATCTGTGATGGAATAGGAAAAAGATAAAGTAAATTAAGTTTAAGTCATAAGGTGAGATCAAAGGGGAGAATGTTAGGTTGATCTTCACCGACTTGGCCAAACGGCCAATTGAGCTCTTGATCTGCGTTCTGATCGGGGGCGCCCAACCGTTCCATAGTTGGGGGGCCCCCGTCGTATAGCGCCATAAAAGGGATGTGGGGGCTGAGGCACAAGGCACGAGATTCACCTGCGCTACCAGCGACGGGAAGCACCGCCGCCTCTGCACCGTCGCCTCTGCACTGCTGACTCTGCACCGCCTCTCTACGACCGCGTCACCGACACCGACGCGATGGCCAGCTCGTCTTCCTCGAAGGCGGCCGATGATTTGCTACCCCGCATCCCCCTCTCTCTGTTTCCTCGCACTAGATCATGTTATAGGGTTTACTCTATATCCTAAATGTCAGTTTGACCCATTAGATATATGGCCAGTGGATCCTGTTAATCTATCAATCATGTGTTCTTCTTGCCACGTCTGACGTGCATGCAGAGGGGTACTGCTTGGACGCGGACGGTGGAGCGGCAAGCGTCACGGATGCGGATGCGCTACCTGCGGGCGGTGCTCCGGCAGGACGTGGAGTACTTCGACCTCAAGACGGGCACCACGTCGGACGTGATCGCCAGCGTCTCCAGCTACAACCTGGAAGTGCAGGACGTGCTGAGCGAGAAGCTGCCCAACTTCGTGATGAACTGCTCCATGTTCCTGGGCGGCTACGCCGTCGGGCTCGCGCTGCTCAGGCCGCTGGCGCTCGTGCTGCTTCCGTCCGTGCTGCTGCTCGTCGTGCCCGGCTTCCTCTATGGCCGCGTCCTCATCGGCCTCGCGCGCCGGATCAGGGAGCAGTACACGCGCCCGGGCGTCGTCGCGGAGCAGGCCGTGTCGTCGGTGCGCACCGTGTACTCGTTCGTCGCGGAGAGGAGCACCATGGCGCGGTTCTCCGCCGCGCTCGAGGAGTCCACGCGGCTCGGGATCAAGCAGGGTCTCGCCAAGGGTGTTGCCATTGGCAGCAGTGGCGTCAGCTTCGCCATCTATGCCTTCAGTGTCTGGTACGGCAGCCGGCTGGTCATGTACCACGGCTACTAAGGCGGCACCGTCTACGCCGTCTCCACTGCCATTATCATCGGAGGAACGTACGTAAATACTACTAGCTAGCTAGCTGCAAACCAAACCTTTTTTTTTATTAACATTGTATTGCCATCTTCCAGAAGCTCGGCCTCAACGGCGTGGAGGACATCGCCATCTACCAAGGCTTCAAGCTCCCCGACAGCGGTTCTGCCTGTTTCCTCCGAGGCGGCGCGCTCCACTGCTTCGAGTACGGCGTCCCCGTCGCGGCGTTCCTCGCCAAGCTCCGCGGGGGCACCTGCACCATCGCACGCCCGGACACCACGGAAGCCGCCGTGCGCGGCACCATGAACCTCCTCCACGGCCACGACTCCACCTGCGTCATGCTCATCCCTAAGCCGGATTACTCCGTCCTCGGCTTCGCCTACACCGAGCCCACCACCGCACCCGCCGGGAAGCTCTTCCAGGCGGCCTCTGCCGGCTTCTACATCGACGTCGCCCCCAGCAATATTGCTGACTACGTGCCCACCATGTGTTCGATGTATTGCCGCAGTGGCTTCACTTCCATGCCGACCACAGCACTGAGCAGTTCTACTCCAACCTGGATGTCTGTCGAGTTCGTCAACAGCTGTGACAAGCGACCGTGGCCACCACCATCTCAAGCTCCAGTGTTCAGTGAACAAGGTATGCACAAACTAGTGGTTGGTACTCTTCTTGACGCTAAGCCGGATGTCATATGGTCAAAGCCCCCTTGGCCACCACCACACATGCACATTGAGTTTGAGTGTGGCAGTGATGATATACGTCCATTTCCATGGCCATCTTTCACCACAATCGTTCCTGAGCTTGCTATTTGGAAGTGTTGCACTTTGCCCAGGAAGCCTCCATGGCCACCCCCAGCTCATCAATATTTTAGAACTGTGCATGCTCAAACTATGGAAGGTTGGAAGCACAAGACAGTGATAACAGAGTGGAGTCTCCATGTGCTCATTCAGGAAGGAAGGCAACAACAGTGTGGTTGTACTTTTGGGCTTGTCTGGCATAAGGATAGATTAATGGTGCCCAAGTGGCTTGCTGATAGTGATGACATTTCTAGTGTTCTATGGTGAGACCATTACAGTTCTTCTCTGTTGTGCAATCACTACTGTGCTGCTATTGCTAGAATTACTCAAACTCAGGAAGATCTGTGCTGCTGCTGTTTGCTTGGAGCCAACACATCTGGGTATCGCTGGAGATTGCTTCCCAAATGGGTGTTTCAATGACGATCTATGTTGTTGTGTGGTACTGACAGGATGTGTTCATATGGCCAGTGATAAAAACGTGCAAGTTCTGTTGATAGCTGGTGAGCTAATTCAAGAGCAAAAGCAAAAGAATCACAATGGATGTAGTAGCAATACAAATGTCATATTGTCAATTCAAGAAGACTCAGTTCAGTTCTGTAATTCTTTCACCTTGACCAATAGTTGTTCCATGAGTCTGGTTGTCAGTTGGAAATCACCATGGCCACTTCAACCTCGACAGGACATCAGTGTTGGACTGCGACCATTACCATGGCCCTCCTTCAGAGCATTCCATGAAGTTACTGCAGCGTGGTGGTGTTCCAGTTTGCTCCTACTGCCAACAGGGCTACCTTCAGCTTGGTGGCATTCTGGGTAACAAAGCGAGGTGCTGGCAAGCGCAATTCACAAGTGCTGTTGGAGATTTCGTCAAGGAGCTTGAAGAAGGCAGAATGCTGCCGCAGGCACAAGCCTTCTCTGAACAAAGCATGCACAGTGCCCTGGGATCGATCCAGGTGACCTCCATTTCCAGACTCTTGTCCATTGGCTTGAGGGCAAGCCAATTTTAAAGGAGGGAATGTCAGTACACTGCCAAGTGGGGCCACCTGTCAGGACAGCTGTAGCAATGATACAAAAGGGAATCGGTCATCAAGAGGAGGCCATCGAACATAATTATCAGAAACACAATATTCCTTCCTAGTCTACTGTTCATCTTCCTCCCCAAGTCTATCTCTCTTGTACCCGGATTACCTATCTCTAGTTCCTTCTAGAGCCTTCTAGATCCTTCACCTGCTGCTTGCTCCTCCGATCTGTATTCTGTGCTGCCTCCTTCCCTTGCTCCAGTTCATCTCGGTTGTACCAAATCGCTACTATTGGTGTGTGACTGAGTTGTCAAGGTTAGGGTTGCTAACATCGCTCTGCTCGAGCGGTTCTACGACCCGTCGGCTGGGGAGGTGAGCCTCGATGGCGTGGACATCCGGCAGCTGCGGCTCAAGTGGCTGCGCGCGCAGATGGGGCTCGTCAGCCAGGAGCCGTCGCTGTTCGGCAAGGAGGACGCAACAGAGGAGGAGGTCGTCGCCGCGGCGAAGGCGGCCAACGCCCACAGCTTCATCGCCCAGCTGCCGCAGGGCTATGACACGCAGGTACTGTGGCGGCTTCCTGTACGTGTGTCGTCGTGCTCGTGCACATGTCCTCCCAAGTGCCAAGTCCAAATCTAACAGCAGCTTTTCTGAATTGAATCTGAAAACAAAAGAGTAAAAAAGAAAGTTGAATGGTTCAAACTGAAATATTGATGCAGATTTCCATTGACGATCAAAGAACAATCCAAGAATAGTTTCCTCAAAAAAAAAGAACAATCCAATAATAGTAATGGCATCAAACTCAACAATAATGCCAACTATGTGTAAATACTGCACAAATATTTTTTCTAAAAACATGTTCACGAAGGATCACTTCCAACAATCTAATACTATCAATCCAAGATGTTTACTTATATCAGCTAAATGTCGTGTCCATCCCCAGCAAACAGAGTCCGACCATTGACAGTACTCGGTTTTTTAGGCAACCTACATAGGGAAGGCGAATTTGTATACATATCCCTAAACAGTAGAATAACTGAGGTAGAAGATCGAAGTTACCTTCGACATTGAAATGGCAGAAATACATGCCAGTTTTGCACAAGTGTCGTACCAACATTTCAGATATATTATTCTAATAACCAGGGGAGGTCTTGACCAGTTTATAACAGTTGTTAATAATGTAATGCAGATATTAGCTGCTACATATAAGAAAGTTTTTGAAACAGAAAAAAGAGGGGAGACCTACAAACCAAAATTTGCAAATGAAAATAATGCTCAATTCTTTATCTTCTACAGCAAACCTGAATTATGTTTTTTTTTATCACACGAAATTACAGACTTTTACAGTGGTTCGTCGAGAAACTGTTTCGTTTTGATCTATTGAAATTGCCCAAATCAATGACCTTGGAACTAAGTTTCTCTACTTCTATGAAATGTAGGCCATCCTTTAGTAATTTGACACTAACCATGTCTGGAACAAAAAACAGGTGGGTGAGCGTGGTGTCCAGATGTCTGGAGGACAGAAACAAAGGATTGCAATTGCCAGAGCAATCCTAAAGTCACCCAAGATCCTTCTCCTTGATGAAGCCACCAGTGCATTGGACACTAACTCAGAGCGTGTGGTACAGGAGGCACTTGACCTGGCCTCCATGGGCCGAACTACTATTGTCATTGCACATCGGCTCTCCACTATCAGAAATGCTCATTTGATTGCTGCCATGAAGGCCCCGTTCGGCTTACCCCATATTCGTCTTGTTCGGCTTCTTTTTTCAGCCGGAATAGTGTTTTTCTCTCACAACAATTTAGCCAGAACAGTGTTTTTCAGCCAGTTTCAGCCAAAAGTCTGGTGAGGTCGTGGAGTTGGGCTCCCATGATGAGCTCACTGCAAATGAGAATGGCCTCTACTCATCTCTTGTCCAACTTCAACAGACCAGATATTCAAGGGAGGCTACAGAGGTTGGTGGAACTGAAAGTACATCTAATATGGGACAATACAGCAGCCACAGTGTGAGTAGGAGACTCTCTGCAGCTTGCAGCTCAAGCTCAAGGAGGTCAGTGGACAATGCAAAAGATGATTACGACATAGACAAGCCAAAGATACCAGTGTCAAAGCAATCTATACAGGCACAATCTGAATGTAGTAAGCTAGCAGCTGAGGCTGTCACTAATCTTCGCACCATCATTGCTTTCTCATCCCAGGAACGCATCTTGTGCCTCTTTGACCAAGCACAGGATGGAACACGCAATGAAAGCATCCGGCAATCATGGTTTGCAGGTCTTGGCCTCGGCACGTCCATGAGTCTTTTGAGATGCACTGCAGCCCTCGACTTCTGGTATGGTGGCAAGCTCATTGCTGAACATCACATTACTGCTAAAGCCCTCTACCAAACCTTCACGATTCTAGTAGGCACAGGACGTGTAATTGCAGATGCAGGTAGCGTGACAACATACCTTGCTAAGGGTGCTGATGCAGTCGCTTCTGTGTTTGCTATTCTTGACCGGGAATCAGAAATTAACCCTAACAGCCCTGAGGGATACAAACCAGAGAAACTCATGGGTGAGGTCAACATTAAAGAAGTTGATTTTGCAAGATGTGGTCATCTTCAATGGATTCAACTTTAAGCATACAGCCAGGCATGTCGACAGCCCTTGTTGGGCAAAGTGGTTCAGGCAAATCAACAATCATTGGACTTACAGAGCGGTTCTATGAGCCACTAAGGGCGGTGGTAGAGGTCGATGGTAGAGACATCAAAACATACAATCTCTCGAGCCCTGCGACGGCACATTGGCCTAGTCAGCCAGGAGCCAACATTATTTGCAGGTACCATTAGAGAGAACATTATGTATGGAACAGAAAGAGCGAGTGAGGCAGAAATTGAGAATGCAGCAAGGTCCGCCAATGCACATGACTTTATTAGCAACCTAAAGGATGGATATGACACATGGTGTGGTGAGCGGGGTGTTCAGCTGTCAGGAGGTCAGAAGCAGCGCATTGCAATCGCCCGTGCAATCTTGAAGAACCCTGCTATCTTGCTACTTGATGAAGCTACAAGTGCACTGGACAGCCAGTCAGAGAAGGTGGTGCAAGAGGCGCTGGACCGAGTATCAATTGGCAGGACTAGTGTAGTTGTGGCACATAGGCTAAGCACTATCCAGAACTGCGACCAGATCACCGTGCTTGAGAAAGGAATTGTTGTGGAGACAGGTACACATGCATCCCTCATGGCCAAGGGTCCTGCTGGAACATACTTTGGACTGGTTAATTTGCAACAAGGAAGCGACCATCACTGAGATTTGGCAATTGGCATGATAAATTGATAACTAGGCACTGCTTTCCAAATTTGTAGCCCCATTCAAATAAGTCGCTGATTTGGAATAACAGGCAAGCAAGAATGCTCAACAGACAACTGAAGGGCCTTTTTTTTTACTTTCCCATCGCTATATCAGTAGTTCAGCACCTAGCATGTGTAAAACTTCTAGTTCCTCAGTAGTGCTACTTGATATGTATTGCGGTGATGCAAAGATCAGGTAATATGAGAGATGTACAATAGGTTGTATTCTTATCATTCTGTGACTTTGAAATGATAAAGCCTACTTGCCAAGAAGATAAGTAAATTTTAAACCACAAACAGAGTATTGCAGGTAGTAGAGTGGACACCAACATGAAGGATAATAACGCAGAAAAACAGTACTCAATCCATCCCAAATTGTAAGACGTTTGATTTTTTTGACACCAAGTTTGACCACTCGTCTTATTTAAAAATTTATGTAAAATATCACTTCTTTCGTCGTGGTTTGATTTATTAATAAAAATTCTTCAAAAATGACTTAAATTTGACTATATTTGCACAAATTTTTTGAATAAGACGAGTAGTCAAAATTGGGGCAAAAAAAGTCAAACGTCTTACAATTTGGGATGGAGGAATAAGAGTTAAGGGGGAGTTATGTTTCCATGTATTAGCATGTAGTTTCTGGGTTTAAACATGAATATGCAAGGATCTGCGCACTCTGAATGAACTATATTTAAGCAGTTGGTGTGTCAAAAATACATTTCGAGTCTTTTTATATATATATATAAGTACATTTCGAGTCTTGACTCCTGCAGCTGCGGGTTGGTGCTTTCTGGATGAGAAGGCGAAAGAAAAGCAGTGGCAAATCAGACAACCCAAACAGCTCCCCCAAATTGGCGCCAGAAAAACAGCAGTGACTCCATATACACAAAATGTCAAGATGGATAACCAGCGAAACATGTAATATATCAAAGTTTATCACCAGAAATCATGTCCGTGATTGGGGTCAGCAATTCGCAACTGCATATTTGATATTTGCATGAGGAAGATGTCCATGGCTCCATGCGTCTGTCTACCTGAGGGAGTTTTTTACCGGTGGCAATTCTCAGGAGTTGGGATCGTAATATAAATGCATAACCCTACAATTTCACTGAGGGGGCTGCTGAAATGTGATGCTGCTCTGAATCTACTCGCGCGGGAACTGAACACAAGTAGTACGCTACTCTACTTGTTAGCGTAGTAGAGGTGGAGTCGCACCTGTGCAACGCATGGTCGGAGCAAGAGAGGAGCCGGCGTAGCGCCGCCGGACGGGTTATCGGGCCCACGGCGGCGGTGGCGGCAGCCGAGTCGAGCGGGGACTGGCTCACGCACGTTGGCGTCGACCGTTGACGTCGAGGGATGGTGGAGCGCAATGGCACCTCACTCGGAGAGCTGGGGCCAACATCGACGCGACACGCCGCGTTGGTTCGCGGCAGCGACGGTTAGCGGCGGTGGCGGACTGACGCAGTGACGCGGCGGAAGTCGGGTTAAACGACTCCAATGCCTTCCGCAGCCGTTTACGGATTCTAATTTCGGGCTCTTGTGGTAGGGAGGCAAAGGCCCATGGAAATTTTGGCCCGATGGCTGAGTGATCCAGCAATTGTAGCATCACTCCACTTAAAAAAAGTATTGTAGCATCACGAATTTTATTTTTAGTTTAGCCAAACAATACTAATAATTTGTGAGCAATTTGGATTTTTTATGAAATTTGTGAACAATTTGTAAAAAAAATTGACATATATTTCTCTGATATCTGCAATCCATAGAAATAATTTGTAATTTTTTCTGAAAAATTTGGCAAATATTTGTATTATACCCAAATTACACCACTGAATCCAAAAAATTTCACTGAAGAAATCATTGTAAATATAAGTGTAAATATAATTAGATGACAGTGTAAGTGTATGGGAAAATTCAGTTGACAGGAGGGGCTAAAACAACTGAATGTCACCAAGACATGTCCTATTTAAAATAAAGGGTAGTTCAGTAATTTCATCCACTCCACTGTCCGTACGGCTACTCGTTCGTTCCTCCCGGCCTTTCTTCCCACAGCTGCTACTCGAACGTGGCCAGCATGCAGCCGCTGGACCTGGTGTCGCCGACCACCTTCGACATGGGCTACTTCCAGTCCGTACGTGTAACCACCGGGCGCTGCTGGCCTCCTACGCCGCGCTGCTCGAGGACAGCCTCACCGGCGCCTACGTGAGGCTCATGGCCACCAACGCATCCTACGTCGAGTCGTTGACACCTCCTTCGCCGTCTCCATGGTCAACATGGCAGGATCGGCGTGTGCACCGGCACCGGCTGCGAGATCAGGACCACATGCGCCGTCTACGTTTACTGACTGTCCGATGACGACGATCGCTTGTTGCATGCATGGCAATTGGCAATGGCATGCTGATCTGAGATTTTCATTCCATTCCCTCCTAGAGTCCTAGCTTCTCCCGGCTCTCACATTTCTTCTTTCAATTTTCAAGTTCGTTGCTCATGCATGCATGTCAGAGAACCGCTGTGGCCATCTGAATCAACAGAAAATAACTCGAAAGCGGAACTAACAGATTGTCGTACGTCAGGTGTTCTTCCTTCCCCTGCGCCAAACATGGAATCCAGAACATAGGTGCAGTGAATGGGTGTGGACGTGTGCGGTCAAAGCTCCTCCAATTACAACTTTACCCTTCTCTTTATTAATTTAATTTTACTAATTTTCTTTCTCAAATTAATTGTTTGTCAAAATAAAAGTAGAAAGTACCCAAGCAGTACTTTCCAACCACCGAAGCAAGCCTCCCAAAAATTTTGTTATTTTTCAGATAGATGCTAAAAAACAAGTGTGGGTCATTTTGCTTGTATCTGGCATTATAGCTTTTGTTGTTTTGGAATTAAAACTCTTTTAGAATGCTATATTTTTAGTTTTTAGTAAAATTGTTTAGCACCAAAATGGTTTCCAGAAATCCTAAAAATCATCTAAATTCTTTGTCCTAAAAATATAGTATTTTGTTTACGCTAAGAAACTTTGATTTCCCAGCACGACTTCGCTTGAACTCTGCTGCAACGTCGTCATCCTAGACACTTCCGTTGTGCTTGTGCCTCACAACCAAGCTACCTTCAAGGCTCAAGCGGCACGCAGGTTATTGGCAGGGCTTCGTGGTAGGCCCATCATCCAGCCATCACGGTCACCATCGCCGTCAAGCACCCCCACTGGAACAGACATGCCCCAAGAAAGTCTACATTCGGCCCGTGGCATAGTAGGATCTACCACCTTCGCCATCAGCAAGAGTGCTGCCGCCAGGAGCTCCATACCGTTGTTGCACCTCATAAACGCTTCGGGGAGAATGGAAGAACAGGAGGAAACCATGCCGTCGTCTTCCTCGCGACTACTCGTGCAGTGCCAACTCCAAGGGGAGCAACTCCATAAAAAGGCCTAGAGTTTCTGAAGTATCTCTTTAGATACTTCACCAGCGCTATCTCTTTTTTTTTAAATAGAGCTAGTGGAGTTGTCCCTATTTGGCTAACAAAGTTGAAAGCGGAGCTGAAAAGATGATGCTGAGCAGTTAGAGAGATTTTTTTTCACAAACACGTTAGAGAGATATGAGTTGGGGCAATCCTGCTGCGGTTGCCTAGACCGCCCGTCCGCAGGCCCAGCGAGGAGGCGTCCAGACAGACGGGGTTCGGACGGACTTCCTCACCCCAGCATTATCGTTTGTTTTTTAAAAAAAAATCATATAAAACCAATGTCCACATAAGTGTGTTACTCGAACGAGTTGCTATCATAGTTGAAGCCCTAAACATTGGTGCCACATCTGAAAAACTCCGTTAACTTGGCTAATTGCTATTGTATGTACACGATCTCCACTGATGTTGGTGGTTCTACAGTTTGTACTGCACCTCCAGTGAATTTTAGCTTCACGGTAAGTTAGCAGCAGTAATAAGCTTATTAGCTAAAGTTGTGTACCTCATCTGAATTTCCATAATATATTAAATCGATACAAGGCGGCGTCCATGATGACTTCTCGTTTACAATTACTATGACAAACGCTCACTCATTTTGCTCAACCTTGGTTTCATAGCTTCTATCTACAATTCATCGCTAACATTTATAGTACACAGTTTCTCTTTTTACTCTTCGTTTTCCATCTCATATAAAGGTTGCCACCATCCATCCTCCACCAAAGTTGGAACTTGGTACCATATCCAAGCCATACAAAAGTCGAACAATCTCCATGAAGTACTACACATAGTGACTTTCTAAATAAAATGGTAAAATCATTTAATTTAAGTGAATCATACTTCAGATTACTGTGTTGGAATGTGATCGATCTTGGCTAATCCCAAGATTAATTATGAAATTAATTAACTATTAAGTTAGTGGTCTTAATGGTTAAGTCAGTGGTCCACCTGACATATATTAAATATCCAATACTGATTAGATCTGTCGTGATCGGCGGCAACCCTTAGATCTTCTAAGGTTTGGCCCCCTGACCCATTGCGCATCTATAAATAAGAGGAGACGCCCGTGGCAGCTCCATCCAAGTGAAATATTTCACACAACCGGCCAAATAGGCGCTGGAGGGTCTAGGAAGGCCGTCTCCCACATCCATCCCGTCCAGGTCCATCTAGGTGGCATCAAGAAGGACGCCGCAACTCCGGGTGACCTCCTGTTCATCGTCAGGGCATCCCAGCTCTTAGCCGGTGAACCCACGCCATCTGCACCGACTCCAAACACCAGAAGTGGTTCTAATGGTTGCACCTAATTCAGATATGTCATTAGACTAAGAATTCCGCACTTAGTATGAATTTTTTTCATGGTCATGTTTTAGACTATGATTAAGATCCTATTTAGTCTAAGTTTTGTAGTAAAAGTTTTTTTATATAAAAAACCAGTACTACGTGATATTCCCTGGTTGCAGTTGCAGCTTTTTTTTGCAGGTAAAAAGCCCGTCCCATATGCGGGGCACTTAGTATGCA